TACCACGACCCGGCGCGACTCGGCGTGTGGGAGGCTGCCGTCCGGGCCGTCGCGCGCAGGGCAAAGTGAGGTTTCGGATGGGTTTGATACATGAGGGAGGGCCGATCTCGTTAGCTTGGAGGGACAGTACTTGTACTTGTCAGGTCTTGTGAGGTTTGCGTTGATCGCGAGCTGTACGTGTTGTTTTGGTGTCGGATAGATGTTCCTGCTTGCCGCTTGCGAGTCGGCGTGTGCGCGGCTCTGTGTACGGTACGTCCCGCACCCGGGCGAACCGAGGAAAGGGTGTGACTAAGGTAAGGTAAGGTAAGGTAAACGTCTCCACACACACAAAGTGGTGGGGCAAGGGGGGGCGACCCTCGCATCTCCACGCCCGGGACACGGGCAGGAGCCCCACGGCAAGCCCATTCATGATTACAATAGTATTCAAGTATTGTACTCATAATACACGTGCATCGTGAGTACTCAACTCATGAGTACCACCGCAGTTGAGTATTCATACTCATGAGTACGGCTGGCGCATGCGTGAGTAAATGTACTCAAGTCCATGAATACTACTCATCCCAGAGTCCCAAAACGCGCTCCCTGTCGACCGACCGCTGTCTCTGCTCCAGCGCTTCGCATATGCCACCAAAGAGGAAGGGAAGAGCCCAGCCTCGGCTAGATGTGCCAAAATACAAGCTGCTTCGGCAGCCGATGAGTCTTCTCGGCACGCAGGTCAAGTTCCCCGGGTCGTTCTGGGAAGGGCGAAAGTTCACCACGGAGGATGGGCTGCTCAACGAGTTCGCCATGATGTGGGCGCTGCGCAACAAGTTCCCGCTGCACTACGTTCTCTTCAAGCAGACTGCGTGCCACCTGCCGCGCGAGGCCAACGTCGAGCAGATCTTCTCTCGCGCTGGGCTGCTGGCAGACCCCAACCTCAACCCGGCCCACCTCGCTGTGCTGGTCAGGATTGGCTTATACGCAAGACATTTGTAGCTCCCTCAGGCGCCACTTGGCTCGGGCACGACACCGAAATACGCGACGTCTGGCCGACGCACTATGGATCGCGGGCGCGTATTTACATAACATGGCCGATCTGTGCATTCTGGGCGATTACATATGCGTAGCAGTACAGCTCACCTCTCCGGGTTTTACCTGCAAGTTGCTCACGCACTTGTATTTGAATACATCATTCATATTCATGAGTACAGGCAGACGTGACTATTCATATTCATGGATACCAGACGTCATGACTACTCATACTCAACAATACAAGCTGCCAAAGGATGAGTTGAGTTATTCATTGTAATCATGAATGGGCTTGCCCCACGGCATTCAAAGTGCACGAGCACCGGCCCGGTGCCGTGGGTGAGCAACCTGCACCCCACTCCCTCCCTCCCAGACACAGGGAGGGAGGGAGTGGGTGTGACTACTTTGTCTATATGGGCTTCACGATCCGAGAGAAGCTGCAGGAGCACCACGCAAAGAGCGGGGCCGAGGCACGCGGGGCGCGGGGGCGAAGAAGGCGGAACGTGCTTGGACGTACGGGGCTACGGCTCTACGTCGCGCCTGAGTTCACGAGAAAATCCGTGAAGATTGGCAGGAGGGATGATGACCCTTGTTCATATGAGAAGACGCTCCTCTCGGTGAGTACCTGCGGAAAGTAGTAGCCTTACACACGAGTTGGGGCCCCTACCCCAATCGTTGTACGTTGACGGCGAACACTCAGCGCCCCTCTTGCGAGGTTAAGGTAAGGTAAGGTAAGGTAAACTTCTCCACACACACGAGGTGGTGGGGCAAGGGGGGCCAACCCTCGCGTCTCCACGTCTGACGACAGGAGCCCCACGGCATTCAAAGTGCAAGGCCCAGTGCGCGTGGGTGAGCGGTGTGTGTGTGTGTGTGTGTGTGTGTGTGTGTGTGTGTGTGTGTGTGTGTGTGTGTGTGTGTGTGTGTGTGTGTGTGTGTGTGTGTGTGTGTGTGTGTGTGTGTGTGTGTGCGTGCGAGGTTAGTTGTTTCATTCGGCTTCGCACAACACGGTTTAGGAGCTCCCTCGCGCCGCCTCCACGCTCCAAGCTCCAACGGCTCCAACACCTTCATTTTGGTTGGAATGGACGATGACAT